AGTAGACTTGCTTTCCCCATTCGACTGTGAGCAGTGAGTTTATTTTCTTCAGTAGTTCACTCTATTTTCCCACAGAACCTACTAGAGTGTGAGGAAAATTGATATTAAAATGTAGAAAGAAGATTCTAGAACAGTTTTTATGAAACATGGCCCTGTCTATAAATGTACAAATATAGAAAGGACTGGACTAAAGAACTGGGAGGTAGTAGCATGTAGTATTGCACAGCACAAGAGAACTAGATGATGTTTTCATATTTCTTTCTAGACTTTTTGAGATTAAATAGCAGTGCTAAAAACAAACACAAAAAAAACTGATAAAAAAACAAAAAACAGCTTATCACAGCCACTCTTTAGTGGCCTGTTGACATGTTATGCTTAAGAACAATAAATATTTGTCTTGATACTTACAGAATGTTTACAGGCATAGAGAAGCCATAAGGTATTGAACTTTACAATTAAAAAAGATTTGAGGAACAGCACTTAGTAATGACATTATTTCAAAGAAAGAAAGCAGATACCTTCTGTAAATAAACATTGACCTAAACAAGCAAGACTTCTGGGTTTACATGATAACATCACCTTTCTGTCAAAACAAGCTTTCTGTCCATTTTTGATAAGATTGTGGCAACTTCTCTCTCCACTTGAACTCTTCTACCTTTGTGAACTCTTATAGTTCTATTACTTGAAAGAAATGGTAGGGAGGTGCTAAACAGATAAGGGCCCTCTCTTTATTACTTTGGTCTGGAAAATAGAACAAATACAGGCCAGTTCTTAAGGAATTGATGGCTGCATATATAAATAATGTAAACACTCCTACCACTGTCCTGGAGAGGGCATTTTTCATGTGGACAGATACAGACACTTCAGATCTGACCAAAGAGTTGTTCCAGTTCTCAAACCTCCACTTACAGTTGTCAAATTTTGAACTGTCAGCTGGAAACTTGATTATTATCAGTTAAAAATAAGCAGAGGATTCAAGTCTGATTTAACGTGTTTGACTTCCTTAAGCTAACAATTAACATTTTAGACTGTTGTTGACAAAATATTGAACTTTCCCATACCGTTTGCGTAAACAACTTTTCTAATATTCCTTAGACACTCCAGTGGACACACTTTCTCAAAGCTTCTCTAGCCCACTTTAGGGGCCTGCAAAGCACATGCATTCCCAGACCTCAAACACTTTCACAACATTGCACATTTTAACTAGGATTTCCTGGGACCTTTAGGAACACTTAAGAACACTGATATTTCAGCCTTATCTTGACAGCACTAAATTTTGAAATTCCAATCTCTCTATTTACAATAAAAGCTATTTCACCAGACAACTGAAAACTCAGGATAC